TCTAGTATATTCTTGAATTCTCTTTGTTACTACTGTTTTTGTAGAGTATCTATGACAATAAAACATTTCGAATGCTATTTTTTCTTTATTGTCACAAAAGTAATTGTTAGTATAATCATTTGTCATATGTCTTTTCCAATTTTCTTTTGAACAGATGGTACATTTCTTAAAGTTGGTTTTTCCCAGTTTAGTTTCTTTATATTGTACTGCCTGTATGTCATCTATTGACAGGTGTTTTATATATTCTTGGTAACATCTTTTACAGACAATATGATCTTTAAGTTGTTGCGTATGGTAGTCCAATGGATTAATATATATTCCTTTTAATAACAAAAATATATCCTTGGTAATAATATTATAACAATCTTCATTGCAACAGTGATAGATATTTTTCCCAATCTTTCTAACTTTTTCTTTGCTGCAACCACATTCTAAAGTTTCATTTTCTTTGAGAAGTTGAGTTATCAATTTATCTGGGTCAATAAATTTTCCTTGTTTGTTATATACTATTTCTTCTATTTCTTCTAAAGTTTTATTTGGGGTTTCTGATCATATTTCTAGTTAGATATCTTTTGAGCTTCCTTCTTTTGGATTATAGGTTTCTTTAATTATGGTTTGTTTCTTTTGGAATTCTTTATTTTCTTCTTTTATAGTTTTTAAGTTTCTATTGACTAAAATCATATTGTTAGTACAGTCTCGTGCTTGATGTCCTAGCTGTTTGCATTTCCAGCATTCATTTTGAGGACACTTTCTATTGACATAACCTTGTTGGTTACAAATTTCACAAATGAAGTGAGATTTATTTTTCTCATATTTTTTTTTATCAAAAAAGTTTTCTTTAAGGATTGGTTTTGGTCTTCTCAATTGGCTTAATAGAAATCTCTTTTGACAATTATGATTCTCATTAGTTAAAGCTTCACATTTTTGGCTTTGATTTCGTTTTTCAAAATAAACTTTCTTTTTTGGTTCTTTGAATTTAGGACATTCATAGTCTTTTTTGACTAAAATTTCACATTCAAGGCAGAATAATTGAGGGTCTTGTTTCTGTTCTTGATCCCTAGTTCCTTTAACGACTGATGCAAAAGTTTTCTTTCCTTTTTCTTTATTATTTCTTTGAGATTGTTGTTCAACATTAGGGGTTTTCTTAATAACAAATTTTTAGTTTTCTTGTCCTTGCTATTCATTGATCTTTTGATTTTTCTTTAATTTCCATTCTTCAAATTCAATCAATTCAGTTTGGTCAGGATGTTTTTCTTTCAAATGTTCCAGCCATTTGTTTTGGGGTTCAGTTAGTTGGCAAATTTTGCAAGTCTTAGATTCCATTTCAGTATTTCAGGGATTCTTGTTGGAGTTTGTTTTTAGATTTTTTAAGTTTTATCCGTTATGTTTTGGATGTCCTTTTGATCGTTTGAATGAAGTTTCTTTTATAGAAGTTTCTTATCTTGGATTACTATTGATCAACAATAATTTTTTATTCTGCATCGTCACTGTTACTCATATGACCTAGTGATTGTAGATCATTTATATAATCTGTATCACATAGACATTCTAGAAGCGCATTCCAGATGTTTTTGTTTTTATTCTGTCTTCTCCAAATTAACTCATTTAGGCATGGTTGTAGATTTTTCTTATCTCTATTTTGTGGTGATATGG